AGATCGGGGCCATTGTAACGCACATTTTCAAAATATTTTTGTCAACATACAGGGTGATTCAAACCGCAATACATATGCTTAATACAGTTCATGAAGATTGGGACGTTTAACTAAAATTTGATTGTCTGATTAAGCTACCTAAGTAATGGATTTGTAAACGTAATATTCATTATTATGCGACAGAAATCCCATACTGTAGCACACAGATTTGATACTTTTAATGATAAATGCCCTCTATTGAGAGACTAAAAGGTAATTGCCTCGTATCAGAGTCATCATAATACGAGAAGAAGACCGAAAGTCAAATCTTGTCTTATATTTTCAAAAAAACACAATTTTCTCATTAAAATAAATATTGATTTTAGGTATAGGAAGTTATTAATAATACAAGATTAAACAACTATTACACAGTACTTCACAGGAAGCTATCGATTGCGAACTAACTAAATCTTTACTAATTACTAATTTTGAAAAGTTCTTTTTAAGATAAAAAAGGTAAAACTAAAACCTAAACTATCATTTGAGATTAAAAGGGAAGTTCTAAATAATGTTGCCTATTCTAAACAAGAAAAATTTATTTATAAGTTTTATAACACCTCTAATTAAATTTGGACGAAAAGAATATTTCTGTTTGCTGTAGGTAATTTTCTCAGAGATTAAACGGGAAGTTCTAAGTTCTCTTCTTCTCCCAGGAAAAATACGTAAATAAAATGACTTTTTAAGTCAAAAAGTCAAAGGACAAGTTATTCCAAAAAAGGACTGAAAAAAGGACAGGTGGCAACCCTAGGTATTTCTGGAATGGAAATTTAATGGCAAATCTGCAACTTTAGTTTGAAAATATGTTCCGGCCACCTATGATTACAAAAATGTCTAAAATGTGCTTTACTATTGCCTCCATATTCTAAAAAACAAATTGAAAGAAAAGTCACCAACCACAAACCTAATATAGAACTGTTTCGGAAGCCTGAGTCACCCTGTAAATATTCAAAAGTAACTGAAAGTTTATATAGAAGTAACTGAAAGTTTAAATTGAATATCGACGTTGGAGCGATTTTCGAAAACTACCTACTAACGTTTCAACATAAGTATATGTGGGATATTAATTATATTATTATATTAGACCTTATAACAAAACCCATCTAACGAAAAAGTGTTAATGTAGTATATTAATATGGAGTAAAAATTTTACTAATTACTTTACTTTTACTTTACTAATTAAATTCGTTCCAAAAAACGATACGCCACTGGCCATTAGAACAATCCAAATGCGCCTAGTTGCCGGCTCGGTTGCCGGGGTCGGAAATTTTAGACTTCTCTGTCTCTTCTGTCTTTGTTTGACACATTGGAATGTTTGATACACTACCAACGAGTATTTATGAATGAGATGTTCGGTCTATCTTTATAATGTCTTTGGTTCCTAGTGATTTTATTTTGTGAGGACAATTGCTTGGGGGAGGGGGGGTTAGCCTGAAGGGTTTATGCTCAAAGATATCCAAATAGAAATTTTCTCGACAAGCTTTCTTTGAAAACAACTTTTCCTATTTCGCAGAGCTGATAGTGTGGTATATGAAAGACCTATTAGGCAGAAACCTGTCGTTGGAAGTGAAGAAAATGAATTTGCCTTAATTGTTTCTTTTATAGAAAATCCAATATATCTACAAGTCATCGTAATATAAATCAAAAAGAACTACTTCTTTATTTTTCTTGATAAAATAAATGCCTCAAAAATTGTCCCCCTTGATATGTAAATTGACGTATTTCGCCAAATTTTCATACTATCATCGGTATAGAGGTAATATTAAATACTGTTCGTTTTCAAATTGTCACCCTGTATATAGGCTATACAGTTATGTGTTCTTTTGTTTTGTTATACATATATGACCTACATTTTTTTGAGTTCAATAAATTTTTAATTTTTTTATGGTTGTTTTATTGACGATGTGAAGCTTTTGGATAAACCAGTATTATGGGTTTCAATCAAAGCCATAATACTATTGGACTAAGAGATATTTTCTCTTTAGTCAAAATCGTAAACTCTTAGATAAATTGAAAGAAGTTTTTTAATCAAATTATAATACTATTAAAACAAAAATGATTTATTTTCCAATCAAAGTAGGGGGCTCTTGGATGAAAAAATATGAGCTCGAAAAACAAAATCTAATGCTAATGAAAGAAGAGAGACTTCTCTTAGATTAAAATAAATTTTAGTTGAGTCAATGGTATTCGCTATTGGTTTAAGAAAAGTGTCTCTTTAATCAAGAAATGTCCCTTTTCAATCAAGAATTTTTGCATGAATCAAAGAGACTATTGTTCTCGTAGCAAGAACTTCTTTGCATATTAATTTTGGGTCAAGAGTGAAATACTTTGGACAGATAGATTCTTCTATTCTCTAAAGTAATTTTTTAAAGCTTAAGAAAAGAGTTAATGCTTTGGGCAAAGAAACGTCGTTCTTGGTCCTATTGAAAAGCGCCAATCTTTTGGGTCAATGTCATATTCATTTCGACTGAAAGATCCTTGTTTTCAGTGTAGGCCGACATATTACGAGAGGATCCAAGAGAGAACCTATATCTCCAGGGTGCAGGTAAGAATAAGAATGATTAATTAGTGTTTAACAAACTGTATTAATTGTAAAATTTCTTATATCTAAAAGTAAATCCTAGATATTTTTACAAATTTTTATTTTTATATTATAATTTATAATATATGCATATGTAGGTGTATAAAAATACTAAGCCTTTTGTCCTACTAAAGCAACGCAACAGCGGCACGATGATGCGTTGCTTTGATAGGACAGATCAGGTTTTTGTTAGAGGGATCAGTTTACCATAAGTGAATGTTTTTATTTGCTGAACATGTTTTGTCCTAAATCGAATAATAACGGTACATTCAAGTTGAGAGCGTCGAGCGTCGCGTCGCGTTTGCGTTGCGTCCGCGTGTCGAAATGGAATCAATTCACTTAATTTAAATTAGACCGTTCAGGCAGACAGCGTCGCGTTTGGCGTTGCGCTAGCGTCCGCCGAGCCTCGGGGTTCGAGTTCAATGGGGCGGACGCGACGCTCTCAGCCTGAATGTATCTTAAGATATTGTCGCGTTGCCTGGATGTTTCTTTAGTGGGTATACGATAATTATTAAAAAGCATAGGTTAAACATGAAAGATACACATTGGCGACAGCGAATCGTAATCGTGTCGCTGTTGCGTTGCTTTGGTGGGACAAGGGGCTAAATTTTACATTGTTAATAATCATTCCTTCTTCTTCTTTTAGATTAGCTACAACACTAAGATTTTTGGCCACTGGTAATAGCTATCCAAGCCTTTCCTATTCATTCATAGTTAAGAGGAGGAGTTAAAGACTATATCCGAAAATTTTTTGCAATGATGGTCGTTGCCAAACTGCACAGGAGCCATTGAAAACGTGTCATAATGCAGGCACCATATGGACCGGTTCTTTATATTTTAATTATAAAAAATCTTTCTGTATAATATTGTTAGCAGTGTGTGATGCCCAATACAACTTTACATATGTGGATATAGGGGCTTATGGGTCTCAGAGAAGGTGCATTAAATAACTCATCATTTGGCAAAAAAATATTTTCAAAAGAACTTAATATACCACCACCACAAGAATTACCATATTGCCAAACAAATATTAAAATTCCACATTTTTTTGTTGGGGATCAGGCTTTTCCCTTAAAAGAAAACCTAATGCGGCCATTTAGTAAATCAAGGGAGGGCCTAGTTCCCCGAGAAGAAAGAATTTTCAATTATAGGCATATCGAGCTAGGAGAATAATTGAGTATTCTTTTGGTATTATGGTGGCTCGATTCAGAATTTTCCATAGGGTTATTAATGGAACACCTGAAACTGTAGACGGGGTTGTCAAAGCCGCAGTCTGTTTACATAATTTTATCAGAAAAGAAAAAAATAAAATTTTATGTTTCTGATGGTGATATAGATAAAGATGTTGAGGCTCATTTTATACCTGGGCGATGGAGGAATGAGGTTCCTAAGGAAGGTGCTGCTCTTGGTCAGATTCCCATTAGATTTGGTGCACGAAATGCTCAATTTTCAGCACTTGCTATAAGAAATCATTTAAAAAGTTATCTTAATGGACCAGGGGCAGTTTTTGCACCATGGCTATGGAAAACAATTGACAAAAAAAAACTAAGTATATAGTTAGGGGGAGAAAATCTAATGTATATTAAGCTCTTATATTTTAGTTATAAGATGATGTAAATATGTACATGGTTGTTAACTTAGTAGTAACAATACAGGATGTCCAATATAAAAGTTCCATCCCTTATCTCTATTATCTTTGAAGATAATATGAAGCCCATTAAACAACCTGTATTATATTAAAAACACTGTAATATAAGATTACTTATTATGTTAATCATTTTATGTTTAATATTACCCGTACTTTTGAGAATAATTCACAATAATTAAAGTATTTTTTTCATTTTAAGTGTTTTAATTTTATTCTAATTTATTTGATATAGGTACCTAACCCATGTGGAGTATGTGGAGAGGAGTCACAAGTCAGAAGATACATCAACATCACATTCATCACAAACACAACCAACTATTTCAGAGGAAGAAATAATAACATTAGAAACTGAGGAAGATTATACCTTTCCGGATAATTTTCTTTCTACAAGCTCCACTTATAATCCAATTGGCTTATCTGAACCCACACCCAAAAAAAAATAAAAATGAAGACTCATTGCAACCAAAAAATATTAACGGAGAATTGAAACAAATAGATAATGTTTTAGTGGATGTATCCACAGCCATAAATTGCAGAATAAAGTTTTTAACTTATCCGGGCTGTTAAAGTATCATTTAATCTATCCTTGCGGTTAAAGTACTATTTTATCTACTATTTTTTAGTAGCTGTCCAAAGAAAGAAAGAATTCCCTTTGCTTTAAAAAATTATGTATCAGTTCTTGGCTAGGTTATGTTAGGTTAGTTATTTAACTTCTTTCTTGATTGGTTTTACGGCCTAAGCTTCCAGGACTATACGGCCAGGTGATGTGTCTCCTATCTTCAATTTAAGACAAGAGAAGCCCGTGAAAGCGTCCGACTCGAGGTCGTTTGTCGTTTCTCTTGAATATTTGTCTTGTACCCTGGAAAGGTAGTCCAGGTCTTCTTCTTTGGTTGAGTGTCTGTATTGGGTCTAATGGTGAGTCCTATATTAGGTGAAATAGATAAACATATTGGATGAATTTAGATACTGACAAATATATTCTGGTCTTTCCCTACTATGTCAGAGGCAAGCAAAAGCTTATATGAAAAAGACTAACCAGTTAGTCATTGATATTACTCTACATGGTTTGTCATGAACTACCGGATAGGTCTTCAAAAATTTTACAATACTAGATTACAAGAATCTAAAAAGCAACTTACATATTCGATTAAGGCTAGACTCGCATGCAATAAGGAGGTATAATCATGCGGGGCGAACTTATAATGGTTGGTGATTGATTTGTACAGAGTTTCTCTTTGTTCTGGATATAATGGACATTGAAAAAAAATGTGATTTAACGTGCCCTCTTCGCCGCATTGGCATCTTGGGTCATCTTTGACTCTGATTCGATGTAAATGAACTGGGGTGAGGCAATGTCCGCTTCTTATGCGAATGACTGTCGTGATTTTCTTCCTTGATATATTACCTAAAGTACCGAACCAAGAGTATTTGTATGGTTTTTCAATCAGCTCTGCATACAGCCTTCCTTTCTGTCTTGAATCTTCCTTCCATCGTTCCAACCACGTCCCCCAGAATTTTTCTTTCAATACAGGATAAAATTCTTTGTACCAACATTTAATCTTTACATTCTGTCCATTCCGTCTTCCTATTCTAGCCATGTAATCTGCTCTGTCATTACCTTTTATGTGGGTGTGGCTTGATATCCATCCCAAGGAGATACTGAATCCACCTTCTTTTAGTCCTATTAGCTTCTTCTTGATTGAATAAGTTATATGATCGTCCTTGTATGCGGGTATGGAGCTTATTGCTTTGGGGGCGCTTTGGATGTCTGATAATATTAATGAATTATATGTGTTTCTTGTCTCAATCAGCTCCAGGGCTTTCATTATCGCTACCATCTCTCCTGTGTATATTGTGGCAAACTTAGCGATTCTGTATGTGTTCTCTATTTTAAGGTCTGGGCAGACAACACCAATACCAACATTAAAGTTCTCTTTTGAGGCGTCTGAGAAAAATTTTATTTTGTCTTGAAAATGAGTGCTTATTATTTCATTAAACTTTGAGGAGTTGTCCTCTTGCTTATTTAATTTGAACCTAATATAATCCGATCTGTCAAACTTCAACCCCGACCCAAAAAATGGTGTATATCCTCGACCTCTATATCCTGTATCCATGGGAAGATTTGATCAATCGCCTTGATTAAGGGAGGTACCTGATATCTTGACCAAAACTGATATGAATGGTTAAACCTTCCGTATGCGCCTGTTATTTGATCTATGATAGGATTATCTCGACTCGAAAAGGCTTTAAGGACAAATTTTGTGGCCAGCCACCCGCGTCTACAACTCAGAGGAATTTCCCCTGCCTCAGAGAGGATGACATTTTTTCGCACCCTATCCAGTCTTTCCAAAAATATCTTAGGACACTTTGCAAAAAACATACCCTCGTAGTCTAAATGTGATCTTACGTAAGCTTAATAAAAATTTAGCATGGTACCTGGATGACCGCCCCACCATGTTTTACACAAGTATTTCATCATATTTATGCCCTTCAAGGCCTTGGCGCATATCCTCTCTATATGTTGTTTGCCATTAAAATATGAGTCGATATAGATTCCCGGATATCATATACAATCAGTCCATTGTATGATATGATTGTGGAACCTAATAACAGGTAAATTGATATTGCGTTTCCTTCTCTAAATCAGGAGGCATGAGGACTTTTCTGGAGAGAATTGAATGCCATGGTCTCTAGACCATTCTTCTAGATTACTCAATGTGGAGTTCATCCTCTGAGCCATGACGTTGACGTCACGACCTTGTGTGATGAGAGCTATATCGTCCGCGTATTGAAGGATTCTTACTCCCTCTGAAACGTATTCTCCGATGCTGTTCACCTATATGTTGAACAATATTGGAGCAAGGGGTGAGCCCTGAGCTACTCCCCTGTTGGCCAGACCGAGTCCTGTCATCTTGTTGCTTCCTTTCTCCAAAACGTAGATTTCTCTATCTGAGTGTATTCTATTTACATATTTGCACAAGTCCTCTTCCAGACCTATGGCTGCCATTTTTTGGATGAGAACATCAATCTTCACATTGTCACATTGTCATTTGGGGTTGGCATATGCATTCTTCATGTCCAAGAACACAAGTGTTATATACGTCTGAAAGAGCATCCACTACTATGGACGTTAGTGCTGCCATGCTGTCCAATATTCCTTTCCCTTTCCTGAATCTAGACTGGGAGCTCTTTAATATATTACCGTTCTCGAGGGTCCACTCGATTCTTGTTTTTATCATATCTTCCATAATTTTTCCAACGCAGGACGATAAGGTAATTGGTCGGTACCCAGAGATGTCTTTTAATGATTTATTGGGTTTGGGAATTGGACACACAATTCCAATTTTCCACTCTCTCGGGATAGAGTAATACTGGAGAAGAATTTTGTTATATAGTGACAGCAGGAATTCTTGACATTTTATAGGAAGATTCTTTATTAAAAGATACGATATCTGATCAACACCCGGGGAGGAATTTTTCTTCTTGCGTTCTAGAAGCAGCCATAAGTTCTTGGAAAGTAAATTGTGAAACTGTGAAACTGTGTAACTGTAAAACTGTGAACAGAAGACTGTGAAACTTCGTATAGTTAATTGCGTCAATATCATAATGTAATGTTGGACTTGTCAATGCGTCCAACATATTTTGTGCAATGTTTCCGTGAAGAGGGTGTATCACTGAGATAGAGTTGATGGATTTTGAGAATCGTTTAATATTGCACCACACCTCGCTGACTGAGGACGCCGCACAGTGTGACGAAATTGAAAAACAATGGACATCAATGATTTTAAATTATCGAATGTTAGTATTGATATAATTACCATGAATATTGATAAAATTGAGCGAAAATATTTTTTCAATTTATTATTACAGAGCTTATAAGTTTATTTAGAAATAAAAAAATCCCAGATCTAAAGAAATGTTAAACATAAAAAAAACATATTCTTACCTAATTGTAAATAATGTTAATCCGAATCATTATCCTCATCTCCTACTTCCATATCCATATCATCTAATAATTCCTGCGCTTCTGGATATAGTGAGAAATTCTTTTTCCAACTGTATTTTCGTCTAATAGATGAAATTAGTGGGTCTGACGAAATTAACAAATTATGCAAAATATCTTCCATGTTTTGTTTTCTACCAATTTTTCTAGAAAAGTTTTGACGGAATGTCCTAAATTCTTTATTTCTAGCTTCGGAAGCTTGTTCGGTCAATTTCCCAATTGGAATCAAATTAAAATGTTTACAAATGTCTGCACCATGTATCAAACGGATGTATACATCTCTGCAGTGAGATTCAAGTACGCACGAAACTTTTCGAAATTATTTTTTTTTCTCACATGAAGTGACTTGGAGGATAACTGCAAACCGATAACTTAGGTTGCTGTCTATACCAGTTATTCGCGAGGTTACTTCGTGATTTCTGAAGAAAGTTCTGGCCGTGTTGCCATCGTTTGTTGTTCCATGTCCTTGTTTAACGACATCCAATATTATTCCTAGCTCATCTCTAAAGGCTTTTTTAATTGCTTTCTTTCTTTCTTCTTTCAAGGTTTTGTTTTCTCCCTTTGCAGACCATGACTTAAAATCTATATTGTATGCAATATGAAGGAGACATTCCATACACCTTATCCACAAATGAAGGGTTGAAAGTCCATACTTATATACTTCAAACCTTAAAGGTTTTTTATAAACGTCCAAAAGATTATTCATTTCAGAAGGTTTGGTAAGACAAATAGGACAAGTGGATGAAGACGATGTTTCAGATATTATGGTGCGAATTTTGCCTTCTATCATAGTCAAATGAAGATCGTGCTTAATAATAATATCTACATTGCAATATGTTGGAATAAGATTTTCGATTTCGGTTTGCATATCTTTAAACTGTTGAGTAACCATATCAGCTGATTCTTTAGTAAACTCAAACTTTATCGGTCTACAATATTGCGTTGATGCGGGTGCAGGATTTTCCCATATAGTTCTACTACCCATTTTCAAATGGAGAGGTACACAACTTGTCATGAACACCGAAGATTCTTCCTGTTCTGAATTTTCGCGGTCTTCAAATTTTTGTTTATATAAGCTCTGACTAGATGCACCATCAAAACCCCATTTAGTAGTGAGAATTAATTCTGAATTGTATGTTCAAGTTGCAAGTTTTAACAATTCTTTTAGCTGTTAGATCTAGAATTGATTGTAAGCGTATCTTTGCCATTTTCTCTTTTACAACAACATCTTCTTGTGGTGGATAACAATTTTCCTTTTCTTTTTTGAGCTTGTAGTATGATGGTAGTATATTATTCCCCATATGTTCAATTGTAAAGTCTCTCAAAGTATTGTATTGATATGTTGATAATTTTAAGGAAGTCATTAAAGCAAGCGATTTTTCCGGATGAATGCAAATTGGTTTTTTTTGAAGTTTTAAATAAAAAATCACTCACTTTTGTAACATCATCATCGTTTTCTAAAAGGTGCTCAATAATTTTGCTTAGTTCTTTTCGACCTTCCATTTTTGACCTCAATTTTGTAGCAAATGCCAACTCTTCAAAAGTATTTTCATGAGTTAGACTAAGTGTTCTTTTTTTTTCTGTTTCGTACTCAAATCGCCGAATGGTTTTAATGGTTTTGGCTTGGGGTTGTCTTTGCTAGTTGAGACCTGTTGCAACAAAAACTCATTTTCAACACATTCTAGCCAAGAAAATGTAGCCTCCAACCACTGAGATTCCTTTTTTAAAAAATAGTCAATATTCCGAGAGGAGGTTTGATATTTTTTGTTAAAATTAACGCAAAAAAGTCTTAAACATTCCGACAGAACTTTCGACGTTCCTTTGGAAAACAAAACACTCCACTGGGTCTTAACCGCATGCACTAGACTATTATGGTCTTTTACTAATATTCTTGTCTCGTAACATTAGAAACAAATCGCGATTTTTTTGTAATTTCTCCATCTCGAAAATGCTGACCACACGGTGCTAGGAAAATACGACAACTAAATAAATATATCACAATACTTCAAAGAAATTCTTTTCTTGATTCAAGCCAAGACACTGGAATGTGTATAAAAACTCATTTGAATCCGTATAGACTAATGCAAAATAAATACCTTTGCAGAATGTGAAATAAAAGCATTTTTTTCTAAGAATAGCAAATAAAAAATATAGGCTTTTTTTCCCCAAAATGTGGCTCTATCAAACAAGATATTTGCCAACTTAAACAAATCTAAACATTTTTTTATAAGTCAACGGAAACATTAATTTTGTAAAAAAACGACTTCAACCAAAAGGAAAAACGTTTCCCGTCTTCTTACTGCATAATTTTTTGAAAAATTAACAGAAATACATTATCAAAGGTTTATAGATTTTGCACACAAAAAATAATTTTTAATCAAGCAATACTTTTGTAGCACATTTTTTTGTAAAATGGGCAAGGTTTTTGGCTAAATTTTTGTGACTTACGGAAGGGCAAGTTTCAATTAAATTTGTTCGGAAACTAAATGTTGTAAAAAAAAATAATGTGAACCAACATAGCGTGGGGTATTGCCAATTTGTGCTGATGAAAAAAAATAGTACTTTTCAATGTTGACTTTATACTTAAATGTCCACTTTTTTCCCATATCGAAACACTATGCGCCGGCTACTGTACGCCAGGCTACTGCAGAACTTGTGAAAGCTTTCTCTCCTCTTTTCGCGTAAAATTCTTCGGCATTGTGCTCTAGCCTTGCGAAATTGTATATAATTTTCTATGCTGAATGTCCTTTTAAAAGTCCTAAATGCCACTCTTTTTTCTTCCTTTGCCCGATCGCAATCCGTGCCCCACCAAGGATTTCCTACTCTCCTTCCCTTCTTGTATTCTGGAATTGCCTCCTCAGTGCCTTCATCTACCATGTCTCTGAACTGTTGATACGAGACAATCTCTGCCTCTCTAGAACTCCTGTATAACTTGTCTTGTATAGAAAAGTGTCCAATTGGCTTTTTTATAATTATACTTAGCTATTGGAATCCATTCATTAGTTATCTCCGTTAGTGTTTCTCTACAAATAATAGGAATGTGATCGCTCATTCCTATATATCCTTCCAGAGCTTCGAAGGAAAACGGACGACCATTTCCTCTCCACAGGA